GCTTCAATAGGATATATGACTTGCTAAAATTGGATTCGAAACAGCCAAGAAAAGAGTACCAGAGTCAAATGATACGCGCCCCGCGTTTGGGGTAGCGAGTTAGCGCGAAGCGCGCAGAGACGCAGACAAGCAGCGGAGACAGTCCACAGCCGGCGGGGCATTTGGCTCTGGTCGAAATTCTCCGCGGGGTTCCAAGAAACCGTGCAATATCAGGTATCATTTTGATCGTCGTGACACGAGGAAGAGCACCGACAACGTCGCAAGCGTTGGAAATCAGTCATTAACGAGATAGATCAGCATTTTCATGCGCGACTCTCTGCGCAAAATTTGAGCACGTTTCTCGTTTTTGTTCAACTCCAACAGCTTTCCTAAACTTCTGAAAATCAATTTTAGTCAAATAAGAGACTAGTTTTAAAATGCTGTCCTGAATTGTGGGGAAATTTCGCATTTTAATAAGGAGCAGAGGAGGAGTTTTGGAACCAAAATGTTACTACATACCACACTTTAGGTGTAAAACAGATTTATGTAAAAATAGTGAAAACTCATGTGAAATGGAAGTTTTGCCTACCTTAGGTGGGCACTTTTTGAATTAGTTGAGCAATTGCCCACCTAATTTAAAAAAGTTAAGCACTTTCTTCATTTACATAAGTTTTTCGTAATTTTACATACTTTGTTCCTTTATCCCGCTGCGCGTACACAAACCGAATTCTGTGCAATGTTATGTGTGCTTTGCAAACGAGCCATTTTTCCATTTTCTGATAGTGGGAAATTTACAGAAAAAAGCTTGCCCAAACATTGTCACATGATTTTTCCATGGAACTTCTCAGTTAACTTCTAAAGGGCCGTGTCCATGTACTTACCAAGTTTTGTAACAGACCACCACCTGTGCTTCGCAAAGGAGCCATTTGAATTCATATCTTCACTCACCAGGTATGGGAGAAAATTTTTGGAAAAAATGCTCAGTACAATCTCCATTCACATAAGTTTCTCATAAATTTTCATACTTTGTTTCCATTAGCCTGTGTCTTCGCTTACGCACTTTGGTGCCATATTGCGCATGCATTGAGAATTGATCATATATGCTTTCTAAACGGCATCCGTCAAGCGACGTCGCCCTGCGGCAACTAGGATGGCCGGCGCGACGCGCGCGGACTCCCCTGTGCGCCTGGTGAAGACGTAACATGTTAACATAAGCAGAGACCAACCACTAACTACCAATTTTTCCGGGGCTCCGCCTCGGACCCAGAGGTGCGATGGGGGGAGCCGGGCCCCCAAAAGTTAAGGTGGTTCCAGCTACCACTGGCCGCCAAAAGTGAAGGTGGTAGTGCCGGACTCCCACTGTCCAGAAACGTCGACCGGGAGGGAGGGAGGAATTGAAAGTCGATGTCGACTTAGGAGGTGGGTTGGGTGAGCACACAGCACACGGAAATAAGAAAAGCAAATGCAAACGTTGATAAGAGCTTTTTTGTCACTTAACTTACTTTTAGGAACTCGCCGTCGCCTAGCGCGGGCACCCAATGGCCGTTACCGGCTTGGACGCTAAGCCCCAGCACTTCAAAGAAGTGCGGAGAACAAAGCTTCTTGGTGAATTTCATAATTTTTCAAGAGCTCTAACCCAACGGTCTCCTTTAGGGCCACAAATACGCTGATTACAGCGGCATGAATATTTTGGATAAACGTGTTAATCAAATGGTGTATTTGTAAGTGAAACACAGCTAGTCTTTACGTAGTTTATTAAGCAAATTTTGTTATAACGTACTGCGAAGAAAGTAAGCCGATCTCCGGGCACTAACCGCCGAGAACTAGAACTTCGAATGATAAAATAGCGAAAAATCATGCGAAATGTCCACATGCCAGCAAGTGCCACTTCATGGTTTTTGAAGGGTAATTGTAGTTCTACCAAAGAGCGAGAGAATCAGGTCGATTTGAGAAGTCGCCGCCAAGGACCAGAATTTGAAAAATTACGCCATTTTAGGTTGCACAGGACACCTGACATTTGAACTCCTATAAATAATGAGTGTGAAGGTGTGTAATGTTGCAACTTCATAGTTATTGTAGATTAAGGTTTGCCTACCAGGTTATGTTCTAGCCGTACCGTTCGTTCAAGCACCGCCAAGATCCAGGATATTGAAAAAAACAGAAAAAAACGTTTTCCAACCTTCAACAGCCCCTAACTCCTTCAGAATTGCATGAATCATGTTGAGACTTCGTAGGTTGAACTCTCCTATTCAAGAGCTTTCAGATGGTCTATGATTTGTGGGCGCTCAATGCTTCTTGCTGCTTTAATCTGGGGTAGAGACTTTTCATCACTAATTCTCCATCTCGTCAATTTGGATGAATTGGCTGGAGGTCACCACTCAGATAATCGCCGGGGGCAGGCGGCCATGCGATTTATGGGCGGGCGGGCACCGGAAGAATAGTTCGCTGATTTCTTGCGGTCCGCTTGCAGATTTTTGGAGGAATTTTAGCGGAATTTTAGACGAAGCTTGGAAAACAATCGCGTTATCCTTACAGATTAGCTGCGGCGCAGTCCGCATTCTCGCGGACTTTCCGCGAGAATATGCAAAATTTTCGAGGGCCGCACGGTCCTTTGTGGAGGACCGCGCAGCCCCCAGGTACTTTCCGCTGAGAGAAAGTACCTCAAACTTGAGTAATTAAACCATCGATGACACCTCTGCCACATAGAGTCTCATCTTTACTCGGCGTATGCCCGAAACTGCCTTAAAAGAGTCCTAGCGCTTGCTGAAAATTTAGCCAGCGCTCGCTGAAAGAAATTATTTGCCGAGCGCCTGCAGAAAATGCTGTATTGTTGCTCGCTGGCAGAATATACGACTGTAAAGAAACTGCCGCCCGCTGAAGGTTTGGTCACGCCCCAAAATTCTGCTGACCGCCTGCAGAAAAGCGCGAGTTTACGGACCGCCTGCCCCCGGCGCTTATTTGAGCAGTGGAGAATTAGTGGGGAAAAGTCTCCACCCCCAAGCTTATGCCGTCGAAAGCACGAAATCCCCACATATTATATAATGTCTGAAAGCTCTTGAAAAGGAGAGTTCAATTTATGAAGTCCCAACATGATTCATGCAATTTTGAAGGAGTTATGGACTGTTGAAGGTTGGAAAAGGGTTTTTCCTTTTTCTTAATATCTTAGATCTCGGCGGTGTTTGAACGGATCGATTCGGCTAAACATAATCTAGTAGGGCAAACCTTATTCTACAATAACTGTAAAGTCGCTTCATCACCAGGGTCAAGCGTGGGGTGTGGCACGCCACACCTGGAGGGTCGTAGAGGGGTCAGCAAGAGGGGGGTCGTTATCGAGGTGAAGTGATGTTAGCGACATTATCTTAATCAACAATGTCTGAAAGGACCATTGTACAAAATACCAGCACTGATGTTTTGGCCTACCTCGTACACGCACAGTAAGCATCTGAAAAAAATTCTGAAAGCATAAGAGCATCATTTTCGTGATTAGCATGTCAAATAACCTCTGAGGGCCAAGTTTCAGCGAATTTCGAGATTTTCAAATATTGGGACACTCAAATGAGGTGGCCATTTTCGACATAATAACTTTGTTTTAAAGGTGAGTATACTACTTATTTTTGCACTCTTACAAAGTACTACTACTTCTTTGATCACATTAGGAATCCCACTTCAACTAACCTCCAAACTCTGGAATCAAGAGCAAGCCAAAATCTCGTTCGTCCCACTTTCGCTTTCAATTTCTCAGACTATAGAAGAGCAATCAGGCCCAAATCACTTTTATGAAAATTATGAGGATAAGGCTATCGAATATACTTGTTACTGCCGCCTTCCCTTGCAATTAACGAGTAGCGTAGACTTAGCATAACTGTAATCCAATATTTTCGCAGTGTTTCCATTAACTTAGCCAAGAAAAAAACGACTACATATATCTTTCCCTAGGAGAAACAATTTTGAATGAAATTCTCGCTTTTTCTAGAAGAAGGTTTAGCAGTAGCAATCATAGACAGAGATTTAAGTACTTTGAAGGTAAGTTAATGGGGTGTGGCACAACCCCTCAAAAACTGTGGCGGCAACAGCTTTTTAGGGGTTGTGCCACACCCCATTAACCTGTCTCCAAAAAGAATTTTAGCGAGCAAAATACATATAGTTTGATAGCATGAGTCTTTTAGTTTTCATAGGAGCAATTTGGGCTTGATTCATCTTCTTCGCTCTGAGTAAAAGCTGGTGAAAGCGCAGCCATTGGAAGCGAAAACTGGGACAAACGAAATTTTTGTCTTCTTTAATTCCATAGTTGTTGGTTATTTGAAGCAGGATTCATGGTATGGGAAAATAGAGAGTAGTGCATTATACTGAGTACAAAAAGAGTTAGTTAATTCACTTTTAAAATATAGTTTCATCTTCGAAAATGTTCACTTTACTTGATGGTCCAATATTGGGAATCCTCGGAATTTGCTAAAACTTGGCCCATGGTGGTTATTTGACATGGTAATTACGAATATGTCCTTAATTATGGATGGTAAAGCCTTTATGTCATGCCTAAGGAAGAAAAGATGGGGGGGGGGGGGAGGGGAGGTGTTGAGACAGAAGATAGGTGAGGGGGGGGGGGGGTCGTATATAGCGCTTGTGTGCCACAGCTCTTGCTCAACACTGCTCATCACACACCCTCACACTCGGGATTTATAGGAGTTCAAATGTCAGCTGTCACTAAGCAACCTAAAATGGCGTAATTTTTTGAAATTCTCGTTCTCTCTGTCCACTGCTCAAATAGACATGATGCCTTCACTGCGGTAGAACTACAATTACCCTTCAAAACTTATGAAGTGCACTTGCTAACATCTTCAATTATTAGATTTATAAAAATGAAGATATCGCATGATTTTTCGCTATTTTATCATTCGAAAACTTAGTTTTGGGTCGTTACTGCCTGGATCGACCTACTTTCTTCGCAGTACGTTATAACAAGATTTACTCAATAAGCTACGCAGAGTCTAGCTGTGTTTCACTTGCAATGCACCATTTAATTAACGCGTTTATTTGAAATATTTATGAAGCTGTATTCATCGTATTTGTGGCCCTAAAAAAAGGCCGTTGGGTGACAGTTGTTGGCCCTGAAGAGAACCGTTGGGTTAGTTTCAACTATCCGAAGTCATCATGAAGCTTTGCTCTCCAAAATCGTAGAGAGTGCTGAGACTGGATGCGTCCATGCCGGTGATGGCCTTCGCGTGCTCGCAGTAGGCGACGGCGAGTTCCTAAATGAACTACATAGAAATATGCATTCAATAATCGCTTTTGCGTCTGTTTTGCTTATTTTCTTTCTTTGATCGTTCAGCAAAAAAAATTTTCAAAACCCAAAAGTGAAGGTGGTTACCCTGTACCAGCTCAAAAGTGAAGGTAAAGGAAGAACCGGCTTACACTATTGCACCTCTGCTCGGACTCCGCAGGAACGATATCCTCTTTGCTTTTTTCACCCGAAACGATATCCAGCCTGACATCTTCCCCCTCGTGCCGTGCCCTGAATGAGAAAAACTTGCTACCCTTCATTTTTACCATGTCTAAGTTTCGCCAAATGTCAGAATTTTTGTCTAAGCCTGTTGAAGGTGCTTTGATAACCTTGACTGACAAGGGAATGGCCAGAAGTCGAAGTGGCCAATCCAAGCAAGCTGCCTACCATTCGGTGCAGCATTCAACGCTGACTTCAAATCTGTTCTCCATATCTGCTTACTCAGACATTTGGAACGTGCAGCGCGCGCGCACTCACACGGGGCGCAACACCCAGTGCGCGGATGGCTGGACATTGGATACCGCGCCGCTGCTACTGGTCCGCGGATGGCTGCCATTTTCCAGTTTTTCGTTGCGCTATACAATGCAAGTTTTGATAATGAACTCCACACTTTATGTGCCAAGAATATGAATTCGTATTCGAATCCAAAAATTTAAATCAAGTACCCATTCGCAATGCTACCGAATGTCAACGCTTGCAAGCAGAAAACAATTTTTGTTTTTGCGACTACTCATATAAAGTACGATACCCAATCTCTTGAATGATGAGGTAGCCTGACTACTGCGTCGTATACCTTACGCGGGTATCCCTTGCATTTACAGCATGTGAGAATTGCAGGCGCGCGGGCCGCGCGGGTAAAGTGTAGACGTACGCGTACTCACACGTACGTAGCACGTGCTGAAAAATTAGGCGCGAGGGTCGCGAAAGCAAACATAAACTTAGCGCGAGGGTCGCGGTGTTGGCCATTAGCACGCGCGTCGCACGCACCAAATGTCTTGGATGGCACGCGTTCGGCGTATTGCCGCCCATTTACTATAAGGCACGTGCTTTGCCGCTCAGACAGTTCGAGCGGGCAGCGCGCGCGCAGTCACACGGTGGCGCAACACCCAGTGCGCGGGTGGCGGGACATTGGATGCCGCGCCGCTGGTGCTGGCCAGCGGATGGTGCATTTTTTTCAGTTTTTCATTGCGCTGTATACCACAGGTCTTGATAGTGAATTCCACTCTTCATACGCCAAAGAATATAAATTCGTATTTGAATAAAAGAATTCAGATCCAGCATCCATTTGCAATGCTACCGAGGGCTAACGCTTGGAAGCAAAAAATAACTTCCACTTCTGCGACTGTTCATACACTACGATGTGATATCTAACCTCTTGAATGATGAGGCAGCCTGACCACTGCGTCGTACACTGCGCAGGTATCCCTTGTGCTTACAGCATGTGGTAATTGCAGGCGCGCGGGCCGCACGGGTAGAGTATAAAGGCACGCGCGCGGCGTGCTATAAAATTAGGCGCGCGGGTGGCGAGATCGAACATAAACATAGCGCGCGGGTCGCGGTGTTGGCAGTTGATACGCGCGCCGCACGCACCAAATGTCTAGGATGGCACGCGTTTGGCGTAGTGCCGGACACGCATATAAATAAGGCACGCGCTCTGCCGCATTGACCATAAACGCGCGTGCGCCGCACGCTCCAATTGTCTGAGTGACCCGTCAGAGAAGGCATGCCGCAATGTTGTAACTGCGAGGGTCCCGCAACGATTCTGCCCCTCTAATCATGGCGAGACGTGCTCCACTCGTTCACTCAGATAATCGCCGGGGGCAGGCGGTCCGCAAACTAGCGCGTTTCTGCAGGCGGTCAGCAGAATTTTGGGGCGAGGCCAAACCTTCAGCGGGCGGTACTTCCGCGTTCTGCCAGCGGGCAGCAATACAGAATTTTCTGCGAGCGCTCGTCAAATAATATCTTCCAGCGAGCGCTGGCGAAACTTTTAGCAAGCGCTCGGACTCTTTTTAGGTATTTTCGGGCGTACGTCGAGCGCAGGTAAGACTCTGTGTGGCAGAGGCGTCACCGTTGGTTTAATTACTCAAGTTTGAGGTACTTTCTCTCAGCGGAAAGTATCGTTCATTCGTTGACCGTACGGACTGCCGACCGCGTGGCGACTGCAACGCGTGCCTTCTAAACTTGCGAAAAAGTGACAAGTTGGACCGTGGCTTAAGATGAGAAGAATTCTTTGTTTCTTTTCTACATTATAAAGATGAGAAGAATCCTCTGATTTCTTTCTATTCATCTTTTCTACGAAAACATCATGCACGCGCAGCGGTCGCCGCGAGGTCAGCAGTCGTTACGGTCAACGAATAAACGATACCTGGGGGTTGCGCGGTCCTTCACAAAGGAACGTGCGACCCTCGAAATTTTTGCATATTCTCGCGGAAAGCGCAGCTAATCCATAAAGAAACCGCGATTGTTCTTCAAGCATTCGTCTTTAATTTTGCCAACTTTCTTCCAAATTTCTGCAAGCGGGCCGCAAAAAATCAACGAACTATTTTTCCGGTGCGCGCTTGCTCAAAATTCGCATGGCCGCCTGCCCCCGGCGGTCATCTGAGCAGATTCAAATGGGGGCCTTGGAAAATGGTGGATCGCCATTTTCGCGCTCTTCTAGGGGATTTTTGAGATCAGTGCCTCGAATTACCCCTGGTAAGCAAAGAAACTTCAAGTCGAGAAATTGCCGAGCCGCTGCTTTTGAGGATCGTTCAGTCCGCGCCGGTACCCGTCCAAACCCGCCCTAATACGTCCGAATCCGTCCAAACCCGCCGAATACGACCGAACACGTCCAAATCCGCCCGAACCGCCCGAACGCCGGAACTGCCAACGCGCAGGAGACTTGCCTGCAAACTGGCATATTGGAGCACGCATGAAACACTGCGCACGTTGTGCATATAACTTAGTCACAAGTAACTCGACGTCACATAATTTCATCTGCATCGAGAAATTCACCCGCTAAAAAACGTTGACGCAACATCGAAGGTGGAAACACAAAGAATGTAGATAGATGGAATTGGAAAACCTGAAGACAAAGCACCAGGCCAAACACAAATTCGATTGATTCTTGTAATAGCCGTGTATCATTCATTCTACGATTAGGAGAAGCGAGATCGCATTGTACACATTGTCTAAACAAGCTTAATCGTGTACTGAGCAGGTTTATACTTGTCATTTTTCTCGTCCAGGTTTCTTAACTCTTTGGAAACAGCGAAGAACAAACTGAAACATGTTAAAACAATGTCCGCAATGCGGTCACGCGTCTCCTAGTCACAGAATAGATAATAGCTATAAACAGGGTCAAGCAAGGGGTGCGGCACACGATCGCTGGTTACGACCCCCCCCCCTGATTGCTGTCTTAATAGACCCCCCCCCCTGAATTATATACCTAAGATAGCACTACCTGAAGGCCCTGTCACACATAACGGGCAACATGTCCATAATAAGCATGTCAATTAACCCCTGTAGACAAAGTTTGAGCGAATTCTGAAGATTCAAGATACTGGGCTACCTAAGTGAAATGGTCATTTTCCAACATGATTAACTTTGTTTCAAAGGTGAAATAGCTATCCGTTAATTTGTTTTTTGCACTCAAGACAAAGCACTACTCCTTCTTTGTATCTTAGAAATCCCGCTTCAAAAACCTCCAAACTTTGGCCTTGTAGATTCCATAGGAATGTTTTGAGCCTGATTCGTCTTCTTAGCTCTGAGTAATAGTTGGTGAAAGCACAGCCATTGAAAGCGAAAAATGGGAAAAACGAGGTTTTGGTTGGCTTCTAATTCCACAGTTTGGAGGTCTTTTGAAGCGGAATTTCTGAGCTGGACAAAGAAGGAGTAGTGCTTTGTCTTGAGTGCAAAAACGGATAGCTAATTCACCTTTGAAACAAAGTTAACCATGTTGGAATATGACCATTTCACTTGGGTAGCCTAGTATCTTGAATCTTCAGAATTCGCTCACACTGTCTACAGGGATTAATTGACATGCTAATTATAGATATGACACGAATATCATGTTATCACTATTATCAGATTACCCAACTACGACTCCCTCCCCTTTTGACTCCTCAATACGACCCTCCAGGTGTGGCGTGCCACACCCCACGCTTGACTCTGGTTATAAATGACAATATGTAACGTCGAGCTACTTGACTAGAAATATATGCACAACGTGCGCAGTGTTTCACGCGTGCTTCAATATGCCAATTTGCAGGCAAGTCTCCTGCGCGTTGGCACTTTCGGTGTTCGGACGAGTTTGGGCGGATTCGGACGTATTCGGGCGGATTTGGACGGGTATCGGCGCGGTCAGAATGATCCCTTAGCAAAATAACGGCCTCTAATGGCCCATAACTTCGCCCATATAGGCGCAAGCAGATATGGAATACAGATTCGAAGTCAGCGTTTTATGCTGCATCTAATGGTATGCAGGTTGTTTGGATTGGCCACTTCGACTTCTGACCATTCCCTCGTGAGCAGTCCTTTTGCAAACTGATGCAATATTTTATATATCTTCAGCATGTTTTTTTTAATTACTGAATATATTTTCTGACGTGATCAAATTTTATAATCGGCTAATTAGACCTCGTAAACCACGAATTTTCTGATCAGCCTAGATACCATTTGATGCAGTTTTTCTCCTCTTCCCAGCAATTGCCTTTTTTTGGCGAGAAACGCGAAAATTGCGAGAAAAACGCAGCATTTCATGATTTCACGAGTGCGCACTGACCCCTGAGTTTCCTCTTCATATTTTAAACCGACAATCGCTCATTTAACTCGTAAAATTAGTGATAGTAATAACTGAGCTAAAACCTCAGATTTCTGCCGGTACCGCGAGTAAGGGCAGAATAAGTGAGTTATACGAACCGAAGTTAGTCTTCAAAAATATATTCAGAAGCCCTTCAGCGTTCTTCTCCCGCGAGAGCAAGACTCGCTCATCGCTTTTTTTAGAGGCAGAAGGAGGTTTTTCAAATACAGTGACCGCCAAAAATTTGCGGACAAGTCGGCCTCCTTTTTTCATCGCTCATTTTCAGATGGAAAACAAAGATGAAAAAATGATTGGATTGCATTTGGTGATAGAGCTCATCAAGAGCTACAAACCAAATATTGCGCTTTCTGGAAAGCACATACTATAAAAATTTTGCAAATCTTTTTCTAAAGAAAGTCCGAAAATGGCCGAGCCACAATATCGCGGGCAA